ATGGTGGACGGCCACGAGGAGTTCCTCGTTTCAGACATCATTGGTCGCCGAGTCACCGACGACAACCCTCCCCACGTCGAGTATCTCGTACGTTGGAAGGGTTACCCTGATGAGGAGGCTACCTGGGAGCCCCTCGAGCACTTGCAGCACGCTCGCATGTTGGTGTGTACCTATGACCGTGCTCGTCGTGCTGGGTTCACTGCTCCTCCTCAGCCCACTGACCCTCCTCCTTCTCCTCTGGCTGAGGAGACCGCTRAAGTTGAGCCTGCTCCACCTGAGGCAGACCTTCAGCAGCAGCCGGATGCTTCTGAGCGTCCACAGCGCACTCTTCGTCGCCCTGCTCGCTACGACGATTGACTCTGACTTACCTTCCCACGTCTTTGACTTCTCCGTACTCCATCCACATCAGTTTTGCTACTTCAGCTCGTCGACGCTGCGGCTCTTCCTCGACGGCATTCCGGACTTCTCATCGTGGACGTCATCGGCAGCTTCATGGACTTCATCACGATCAGCTCTGCCTACTTCAGACGTCGCCACTCTCTTATCACTCTACCCTGTACAGTACCCTGCTTGTGTCGCATGATGGTCTCCCTTTAGCCGGGTTCCTCTRAGTTGGGCTCTCCCTTGGTATACGCACAGGCATCGGGACCGTAGCGTTGCCCTGGCTTCCCATCTTACGGATCTAGCTCCGACCTCCCTCACTTTAGGAGTCATTTGCATGATTCCCTTACCCATCATCTTTCTACCCTTCGCCGGCCCTCACGCCCTAGTTAGGCAGCCCCGCATGCTTCATCCAGGTGCACCCAGTATACCAGGCTCCCTTGTTCCCTTGCATTGTCGACCCTCCATAGCAGTCACCCCTTAGTCGAGCATTACCCGCCCTGATGGTCTATCTGTTAGGGTCATTGGTTCTGTTCGCTTCCAGTTCCCTACCCTCATTGAGCCTGATGACATGCGTTTTCCCCTGTCACTATGTGTGGATGCCCTTAGGAGTTTTCAACCCCTAGGCTGCATTCGCCACCCTCAGAGMCCATCCCACCCTTTGGTGTGCGACACACTTCTCATGTGACATATGGTTGTCTTGTTGATTGCTTTGTTGCTCTCAGACTGAGGCTACTGCCTCCGACATTTCTAGGATTTAGTTGTTATGCTTTTGCTATTCTTAGGACTTATACACTAGTCAGTTGTTACCAGACTGAGGCTAGTGCCTCTAACATTCTAGGATCTAGTTGTCACTACTTTTTGCTTTCCTAGGACATGTATGTTAGTTAGTTGCTCCTACTTTCACTTAGGCTGTTAGCTGTGACATGGTTGTTTTGTGACATTGCTGTTTTGTGACATTTTATATCCTAGGTTGCATCGCATGGACTCAGCATGGAGCTTGCTCCGCATCCTAGACTACTCAGGTTTTCTTTTCTTTGGTAGAGTTCCGCTTCTTGGCGGAAGCATGTTTGTATCTAGGCGATCCATCACAGGCCGAGGATCGTGTAGCGGACCTCGGGATGGCCTGTGAGACCAGCCCCTTGGCCTGTGAGACCAGCCCCTTGGCCTGTTCTCACAGGCCTGTGTTATATTTGGGGTAGGCCAGTCCAGGCCGGTACCTCTGTCGGTACCAGCCAGTCCAGTCCAGTCCCGTCAGTCCGCTGGGGTATACCCCAGTCATTGTCTGTTTTCATTCTCATTCATCACTTGCACATTTTGGAGTACGTGCGTTGGAGTCTTGCGTGGGGAGCTGCGCTGTGCCAACTTGCTCCCCCTTCTTCCTCCATCTCCATCTCTGTCACTAGCGGAGCACCACACCCGGTGGGTCCGCTACAAAGGGCCTACTTGCCGCGAGATTGGCAACACTCGAGCACGAGCACATTGCAGAACAGCAGCACGCCAACTATATATGGTGTAGAGTCACGTTAAGGTCCATGTTTCAGCAGTTATGGGACCACTGAGCACGTGATTATCTGGGCAGTAGGAGGCCAACTCACCACGTGATTTTCGGGGCTTCCCTCCACTACTCGCCAAATATGCAAAACTCTAATGAATCTTCTGCTAGAACATGGGATCATACGCCGCCATATGTTTTGTCTTTTGTGCAAGTGGTGACGAGTGGAGCCAGACCCTTAGGGCTATAGCTCGTAGGAAAAGGAAAAGAAAAGAAAGAGAGAACTAAGTGCAAAACTAAAATGAAAAAAAAAAAAAAAAACTAAAATGAATCTTCTGCTAGAACATGGAATCATACGCCGCCAAATGTTTTGTCTTTTGTGCAAGTGGTGAAGAGTGGAGCCAGGCCCTTAGGGCCACTGCTCGTAGGAAAAGTAAAACAAAAGAAAGAGAGAACTACAGTGGTAAGTAGTTGTGGCCCATAACTGCTTAAACACGGACTGACTTCGGATCCAGAAGATATATTGCTGGCCTGCTCCGAATTCGTCCAAAGATTGAAGAATGTCTCTGGTAAGACATTAGAGCCCTGCAGATTCTCTGCTGGGGCCCCTTCCGAAAAAAAATAGCTAAATTGAATGAGGAATACGTAGCCCATCCCCAACCCCACCCTACCCCCAACCCCACCCTACATCCAACCCCACCCAACCCCCACCCCCCACTGTCCCCACCCCCCACA